AGTCTTCTACTTTACCATTTCTATTTCTTGCCTGAGTTAGCTTGCCCCAATATCAATTGGACTGCGACTTTGGTGGTTTTAACAGCAGTAGATTTAAGATGTGAGATGTGACCCCAGCTTTAACACCTCTGCTGGATGCGCACACACCTTCTGATTAGTTCTCTCATAGGGGAGTGTGATTCTGGCATAGAAGACAGCAATTACCTCAGCTAATAGAGCAGTTCTACTCCTCTACAGTACAGTCAGGTGTAGGGCTACAGTTCGAAGAGAAACATAAGAAGTTTGATTGTAACTTTTGGGTGTTTTAAATGGATTTAAACAGCTTTGAATAGTGTAGCAGTAATACCAAAACACATAATTACAGTGTCATGATTGATTTCTTCCTGTTTAAACCTCTCTTTCAAACACAATTATGCTATTTTTAAACCCATAATTTTGGCTTTTTGAATAACAGACAATTAACAATTTTTGACATCCAGTTCCTTTTTTATCCAATTAGAAAGAAGAACTCAAAGATGTTATCTCAGAGCTTCCTGGTAAAATAATTAACCAGTTAACCTATTAGCTACTGCTGTCTAGTACTCCACTGTATATAATTACATTTCCCTTGTCCGTGTTTGTAAACAATATGGCCACCGTGGAAAGAATGGTGGTTTTAAGAGAAGCAGACTACAATGCATTTTCATAATAATTATATGTTACAAGCAGGGGAGTCGACAGGGGGGGACAAAAGAGTCCAGAATTTGACCCTTTTCCTAGTCAGTTGTATTAGAGGCGGGCCCATGTAAGGTGTCTTATCCTGGGCCCCCAGATTTCTGTCACTGGTCCTGATTAGAAGTAAAAAAAAAAAAAAAAAATGGTTTAAGCAAATTACTTTATGAATGTGTAATGTGCAGCTTTAGCTTTGTATATAATGTATTAACTCTACACTATATTTAACTATATTTATAAAAAACATAATCACTATAGCTTTTCAGATTTATGCTGTGTGTTTGTCCACTGATCCAAAGGTTAGCGGTTCAAATCCTGCTCTCCACATAAACATCATTGATTGAGCGGTTAGATCCCCTGACCCACAGACTGGTGGTGCAATTCCAGCTCCCACAGATAAATGCTGTTATTGTGTCCTTGGACAAGACACGTAACCCTCCTTGCCCCCAGTGTCTCCGTACACTGGTGTATGAATGTGTGTGTGAAAGGGTGAGTGGTTCCTTGAGGTTTGAGTGCCTTGAAGGTGGAAAAGCATTGTATAAATGTGACCATGATCATTTACCAAAGTGAGAGCAAACAGTGAAATTTTTATTACTTATTCTATTTTATTTTTACTTGTAAGTATACATTTATATAATTATACCTTATTTGACACTAATTTCTTGCTATTTTGCGATTTATTTAGAATGCATTATTACCATTTATATTTTTTCTCTTTGTTATTATGATATATTGTGTGTGAGCTACTGTGTCCAAGTAATTTTCCTCAGTTTGTCTAAATCTATACATAAGCATGTTTTAATATAAGGTCATAGCAACATTTCCTTTTCAGTGGCAATTTCACAGACATTTATCATCTGAACATTCTTGAGTGCACTTTCATATATGGTAACAGTCATAGGGAAATGGCAGTTGTAGCACTGGCCTGAGCAGGATGAGTCAGGCGGGCGGAGCTGGTCCTCAGTGCACAGACTGGAGGTGGGCAGACAGACTCACTGAGGCTGGGATTGTCTGTTTGTACCACGCAGCCCTGTGCCAACTCATCACGCGCAACCACACATTACAAAGAGCTCTGGGGACAAGAGTTCGATTTTACATTTGAATGTGCAAACCTTAGTCCAAAAAAATAATAATAATACAAATTGATTGACTGTATATATAAGTGGAAATAACTAACCAGCAGCTACCACGTTCCAAATTGGAAGTAACCATGGGTGTGCTCGTGATTTCTTTGGCTCTGGCTCCAATTCACCTTGTATTGAAATAACATTGCCCCTGCTGCTGTTAGACTCCTCATTTTGGTCTTAAAATGTTAGTATTACCCCACTCTACATGATCATAGTGTTTCTATTTTGCTATTTTGTCTGTAAAGCAGTTCCTGTTCTTAATATGGCTCCGAATTTGCCCCTATAACTGCTAGCCTCGAAAGATTAATTTGCTTGGATCTGGTCACACTCCCTTAGTCCACTTCTTTAAACAGACTATGTTTAGAATGGGACATTAATGTGTGCTGATGTTCTGTACTAATCTCCATAAAATTAAGTCAGAGCAGCCAGACTGAGGTGGTTTATATCATTTAATTTTATTCAGTTCATTTTTGTAGAGACCAAAATTACAACAATACTCACCCTGCAGGGCTACACAATTTGCTGATTTAACCAACAGAAAGTTAGAAAATCAAACAGTGAAACAGTGTTTGATCAATAACAAATTAAACAACATTCACCAAAAATGAGCAAACTGAGCCCCAAAGCATCCTTGTCCTTAGACAGACCTTCTCAACAGGATCTCTCTTGAAGGAGAGACCCACTCCAATGGACTAAACAAGAACTAAACCAGGACTAGATAAGGACTGAACAAGGACTGAAAGAGGACAGGCTGCAGATAGATTTGCAAATAGAGTTTAAGAGTGTAACGCCAAAGTCCACTCACAGACAGAGACAGATCTTAACTGACCATAATAAAAAAGTGGCAGTTTTAATTTGTCCTCATCGTTCATCTATATCTGATTAGCAGACAGATTAATTCATACCTGTATAATCCACTGAAGTCACCTTACCTTTTTATTATGTACATACGCTGCATTTTACATAATCATAGGCAGGCTAACATATTGTACCTGATCGTGCCGTAACCTTATATTATATATTATAGTTTATATTTCATTATTTGTGCACAGTGTTTTAGTGATTTTGAGTAACTATTTCTATTCTCTTGCTGTTCTTGAACTGTGCGTTGCAATGCTGGAATTTTCCCATTGTAAAAAAAATTAAATGTTATCTTTAAAGGTTATCTTATTCTTATCTATTTATTTAATTGTTTAAGTCCATAATGGCGATTTAGCTGAATCAGAAGCATACAGACTATACCCTCTCACTTAATGGAATATGTAATCTATTGTCATTTTCAATTTTTCAGCTAAACATACAAATCTGACAAGGACAGTTTCACATTGTCTGTTTTTTTTTTTTTTTTCTAATCTTCTTTCCTGAACTCTCTATCGGTCATTTTGGACTTTCTGCACAGCTACATGCTTGTGTAACATGGTTTTGTGTGAGTTACCCAGTCTGACTCTAAACCCCAAGTATCATCAGTGGCCGGGACTTCCCACAGAGAGGTACAGCCCGCTCGATCAGGGCGGATGGCAGCGAGGCTTTTAGGAGCCTGTCACCCTCCACATGGGCCATTACAGCACCACACAGTTCGCTCTGATAGGGAGAGCCACAAAAGAGGCTGCTCCACAGGAAGTCTTTGACATCTCTAACCAGCTGTGTGGCAGGGAACAGAGAGCTGCATCCGACGTGCCCATTGACTCCGAGCTGTCTGCTGCTCAAAGGTTCTCAGGCTGTGGTGCAGGACAGGTTTGAGTGAGTGTGAGGTCCAGTTTTCTATACAAAAAGTGTTGAGTAGTTGATTTAATACAGATTATGTTATACACTTTCATCCATCATCCATCAGTCCCTCTGACCACAACCAACACTCATACTCACATAACATCGATACTAGGCAGTGTGGGTGGAGTGTCATGCGTAAGGACACAAGAACAGTTTTTGCCACTGGCGCCCCACTGTGGCCATTGATATTCCCAGTGTTCTTCAATCCAAGTACTAACCAGCTTCATCATATTTATTACTGAGTACAGTAAAAGTCCCAATCACACCAATCTTTGCTCCTTTCTAAACACATATAACAACACTGTAAAATCTGACTGCTCTTACTGGCCGAATTTCAAAGAACATGCAGAATAACTCTGATTTGAACTGTTTAATTAATCACACTTGTATAAAAGTCTGATTATGGTAACGGCTTGTAATTTAAGTAGTATTTTCATGCAAATTTTAGACTTTTGCTTAAGTTCTATTTTGTATTTTACTTGTAATTTTGTTTTTTGGTCACATAGCTGTACTTTTACTTTAGTACAATATACTTGCAATAATGCAGTATATTTAGTTAACCTGTCTCTCTCTCTGGTGGTGACCAAGTAACCAGTCCTTCCCTTCACTGGACTCTTTTCATATGCATCATATTATATGCCACACCAACATGTCCAAAAGGCTTATTACGAGGTTTATGTCTTGAGCCTAAAGCATACAATTCCTCATGGCCTATTAGGCAAAGTTCTGTTGTAGGTTTATGTATTTATTACACACTTTATTCACTGGTCTTTGAGCCTTATACAATCAAAAGTTATGTAATATATTTGTAATTTCTCTGTGATTTCTGTCTCTAGCAAGTGTAAATGTGCTCCTGGTGATTTACTGGGAAGTACTGTGTGCAAAGGGCCCTGAGCTCATGAATAAGCCATCAATAACTTTGTGAATCAGTAATCAATGCCGCAAAGATCATACAAGCTTCCTCTTTTGAAATTAGGGGGAAACACTCCAGACTGCCTCATTACCGACTCCACTGTAAATATCACTGCTCCATCTGTCCACACTACAAGCAGCACACATCCCCACTATCTGCTACCACAAGTTTTTGTTTTTGTCCGAGCACAAATTATACCAGATTCTTGTATGGGAGCTTGTATAAACTAGTCTACACTGTATTGGGAGGCAGAAGTTCAGCAGAAAGTTAACTTTGTCTAATTCAAAAAGTTGGAGGTTCAATTGTTTGATTATTGGGTAGACACAAGAGTCTGTAAATATGAACAGAACTGAGTGGGCAACGCTTGTGTTGACATTAACACTTGACTGCTGCATCATATACAAGCTGTTTCATGTTGACTCACAAAAGACAAGAATGTCCTCGACATGAGGTCAGAAGGTTGATAAAACTCAGTACATAAATCATGTTTTACCCATAGAGGGTTTATTAGGAGGGTTGTGTATTCTTACATTCATAAACTGGGACCAGAGGTGAATGTGTCACATGCAGCAGTATTCGATCTTATTTAATCTAATACGGTTGTTGAATTATAGGTCACATTTCCAAACCCAACCATAACCACCTGTTTCTCAGAAAAGATCGAAGTCTGAGGCGACAGGGGCACTCTAACACTTATTTGTTTTCTTAGCAACAGCCTGACCTTTCACTGTCACCTGAGGTGCTCTAATGAAGAGACACAGATGTGGAAAAATTACCAAATAAACCAATAAGGCCGGCACAGTCTCACATGCAGCCTCTTAAATTCATTTCCTGTGCTAATGTTGTAAAGCCAAATGGGAGCTCACATTTCTGAGGCAGCGTGCCTGCCCAACACAGAGCAGTGCAGCTACGGCGCCCCCATGAGGTCATATTTAGATGTCCCTTTATGTAAAACATTGAATTGAAAGCTGGTGGTTCTCTTTGGCTATAGGGCAAACAATGAGCCTTTCATTTGAACAAAGAAAAGAAAAACATGTCATATAACTTCAGACTGACAGCTTGACAGTCCATCAAAGAGTTTCCCAACTCCTCCTCATGGACATAAAAATAAAATGGCACAAATAGCCCTGTGGGTTGCATCTGGCACTTTTCTGCCATTTTAAAACAAAAAAGGGTTAAATAAATAGCAATGATTACATTAAACATACTTAGACATAGACAACATACTTGACACTGGCATAAAATCAACTCGGTAATACAATACTGTAACAAGTGGCTCCTGATATACAGTACTACATTCTAGTGATACAATACAGGATAGTCTGAAAGAACATACACAGCATTTTTGTTCAGAAAGTTTGTTTGGCTCTAATAATTTCAAAAACATGGTGTTCTGTTACAATTATTTGCTGAAAAAATAACAGCTGAAACGAGAGAGTTTTTAAAATATGTGATCAATACCTAAAACAGTGATGTTTTGGAACTGCTCATTCTCTTACGCTCAGAACAAACACATGCATTTATTTCTGACCTCTTACTGGCTTTGTGTCTGCGTGGCGACAAACTGTAACTTTGTGTAAAACATGGTTGATGTGTTGTGATTAGTCCAGTGGCACATCTGCAGCTACAGGTGACATGATGACTGTCGCCCGTTTGGATTCCTTCATCTTGTCCAGTCCAAACAGGAGATCGAGTTGAGTTACTGGCCTCAAACGCCTTTCAGACACAGGTCTAAAAGAACAGACGTAACAGGTCAGTCCAGTACACCATAATAAGCAGAAAACTTTATGATTACAGCCTTAATAATGCATCTGAGAATAATATGCTCTTGCACTGCACCAAACTACTGAGAGCTCAGCTGTGCATTCACTGCTTGGAGTGGTGCAAGTTAAAAATACTTATTTTTTTGTAACAATGGCTTGTTTCAAGAGAGGTTCCAACAGTCACTTAGCAACAGCTGAAGACAGACATTGAAACTTTTAAAGGATATTTTTAAACCCTTTCAGCTTAATCACAGCTTGGGTATTCAATCAAAATCCAATATAATGCAAATCATGGAGAAACTGAATACTAGCAATAATTACAAGAACACTTAATAGAACACCTTTGGAGAGTCTTAATATGTATGGCAATGTTTTATCAAGATGCAAAAAAAACTCTATGTGGAATAAACACAAATCAAGCAAATTACTGTCTGACTATATACATAACATATGCATAATATATACATGAGCACTGGTCAGGATCTTTGTACCATATTTGATAGACATTGAGAGAAGTCATCTAGCAATCACAGTTAGCCCTAAAAAAAATCAATGTAATTTTCTTATGTCTAACACTAATTCAGATCTGTGTTAATTCTCCAATATACCCCACAGATTATTTTATATACTGAAAGGGATAATGTTGCACATCAACTTGTCAGCAGTTATAATGTTACACGTAACTGACAGACAAAAATGCACAAAGAATCAATTGTTAAAAAATAAAATACAAAACTATACAACACAAGTCTTGTGAAATATTGGACAAAGGTTTCATGTTCGAGCTCTACAGTGTGTTGCCAGCTATTGCCAGAGCACTGCACAGATGCTTAGAAAAAGAACAGAGAAGTTGGTGGGTGTTTTTTTCTGGTGTGTGAATCATACTTCTCTTCCTCCTCTTTGTCATCCTGAAGCTGCTGTGCGATCTGCCTCATCTGCTCCTTTCGGACATAGTCTCTCACACGGTACATAGCAGCGTCCCGGCACAGCTCCCGGAGGTCACTGCCACTGTACCCCTCGGTTTTATCTGCGATTTCTTTGAGGTTTATTGCATTGCTCAACTATGTAACAAAGACAGGCTATTAGTAATTTAGAACAGGTCCAAAGTGTTTTTGTATTTAGTTGAATGCTGTGGTTGTCAATCAAATATGTAATGTTGATTGTTTGTGTGAGGGGTTTCACCATGATTTGACTGGTGCATTTCACCTATTTTAAAAAAAGGTATTTTCTTACATTTTCGCCGGCTAAAATCAGGCGCAGGATCTCCTGTCTTTGCCTTACATTCTGTGAACAATAACATGATTTTGAATCTGAACTGAAAGTGATACAAGGGTGAATATTAAATAAAAATGTTTGCAAAGAACCTACTGGCAGTCCCACATGAAAAGTAGTAGGCATCCTGCGAAGAATGGCTGGATCCACATCCTGGGGCCTGTTTGTTGCACCCATTAACCATTACCTGGAAAACATGTTATAAAGCATATGTAAAATTTTATCATAAAAACATTCCCTTTTAAGGCTACTATTGAGTATTTGAGTGTTTCTAACAAACAACCAAATACCGCTGAAATACCAAAAGCGACTAAATATTGGTTTATAATACCATAATACCATAGTTTAGTTTGAACTGACCTGAGTTGTTGTGGATGTATCCAGCCCATCCCAGAGACTCATGAACTGGGCTTTCATCATAGCTGTGGCCTCATGGTCAAGACTGGACCGGTTCCTTAAAAATGACTCTAAAATGAACAGGAAACATGAATATTTGATAAATGAATATACAAAAAGATAACAGGGCTAATGTTGAAGCAGAATAAAGCTAATACTAATCTCAATTCATTTAATTGAATCTATTTAAATTTTCAGTAATACAAGGAACTTTATTAATTAAGTTGCAGTTTTGCAGGGACAAAAATTGCTGACATCTTGATTATTAAAATGCTAATAATGTCCAGAATATTTGCATTTTGGTTAAAATACAAAATGTAATCAGGTTAGATTGATTTCCTGTTGGATCTACTCACCAATTTCATCAATAAAGATGATGCAGGGTTGGATTTTGACAGCCAGTGAGAAAACAGCAGCGGTCAGCTTCTGGGACTCTCCATACCACATGTCAGTCAGAGTGGACGCCTGCAGGTTTATAAACTTACATCCAGATGCTCGAGCTGTGGCCTTTGCAATCATAGTTTTCCCACAGCCAGGAGGACCAAACAACAAAACACCTGCCCAGGATGTATACTGTATTTAAAACTTTATTAATAAAGTAATTAATTAGTTAATTAGGTAGCATGAGCTTAGCTGAAACCTTTAGGGGGTTGGAAAAGTTTGGATCCTGCCAGCAGGTGTCTTTTCTGAAAGGGCAAGATCACTGTGTCCTGAAGCTCATGCACAATTTCATCAAGACCAGCAATATCTCTCCAGGTCACCTGCAAAAACAAAATGTACATAAACCTCACAAAGAAAAGGCATTTAAGTTTCAACATTTTACCTTCATAGTTTGAGGATCAACAAGGTGAGATGCAATGTTCATTTCATACTCTGTCAGGCTGACTCCCTCGACACCAATCCTTTTCATCAGCTGCTCTGCCTGTAAAACATATATATATATATATATATATATATTTTTAAATACTTAACTATCTCTTCCCTAATTATACCCTATATCCTTACCCGTTTCTTGGCCTGATTTTTCTGCTTGTAAGTTGGATCCATAGCCTCCACCACCCATTTGATGCTGTAGTAAGTGGCAGCTCCAAAGATAGTCAGCCTGACTAGCATCCCCAGGACTTCATTTCGAGTCAGGGGCCTCAGGAGGGCCTCCCTGGGAAGATCTTTCAGCACCATCTCAGATCGTGTCAGTCCATTTATGTTACAGAGGACTTTGCCAAAACAAAAAAGAAAAAAAGAACGAAACTGATTATTACAAACTTTACAGATTCGTTGTGACTGCATTTTATAATGGTATTACAACAAGAATGAACTCATGATCAGCCTGTCAAACAAACGCAAGGACTCGGCTTTGAATGAGATGTACCTGATCTGCTACCATAAGACTGAATATTTGAAAAGTAGTCTATCACATTTTATCTGATTCACTTGTCAACAGGATGTAAAGCAAAGCTATCTCGAGACGCTGTCGGGAGACAAGTTCATAAGCGACTACAATAAATAATGTTATTTAAAATAATGATACTCCTCGGTATGTAATAACAACATTGTTGAGACAAGCTAACCTTGCCGCTAGTAATAAGGGCAACACATTAAAACACGCGTTCGAGGGCTTTAGTTTAGAAATTGTTGTAAATCATTCGATTATTTATTTGCAGCTTTCACATAAAAATACTCACGAAAAGAGCATCAATGCAGTGATGTCCTCAAAATACCCAAAGCAAAACCATTTTGAAGTACTAGCATCAGGGTGCCTCTTTGTTTGTGTCACGGGTGGGTACAAAAGCCAGTAGTTTAAGTTCCTACAAATATATTGTACTTTTAGTTATTTGCCTCTAGATGGCAGCAATCCCAAATCATTCGACAAAAAATTAGAACCATGGACAGCGACCCGTTTTTTATTGTTAACTTAAACGTTTTAAAGTCATATAAGATAGATTCTCAGGTCACAAACTTTCCACACTCCAAGAAAAATATTTCATCTGATTAAATTAGGACTATATCAGTTCTGAGGTCTTATATAAACCACAACATCAGGACAACATCATTGAGCTCTAAACTATCACTAAGATAAAAAACTAAACAAACAAACAAAAAAAAAAACTATAAAATCATGCTTTAACTACACAGTCAAGACAAAGAGCGAGAGACAAGCTACAGACATAAACAGGTTAGGGTTAAATATATGTATGGGGATATCACTGTTAATTCTTTATTCTGTAGGCCTGTATGAATGTAAGCAGCTACAATCAGTGTTCCTTTTTATGTAAATGTATGTAACCATCAGTGTTGGGGGTGGATAAGTTGATAACACTCTGAATTTAAGCATGTCCCGAGGTAGGTGGTAGCTGCACACTGATGCATCTATTTAGCTGAGGTTGGCTGATGGCTTGGATCTAAGGCTAATCTCTGTTTGCTAACCATTTATTTTCAGGGCTGTCTGATAGCAGCTAATTCAGTCTTCTTAACAGCAGGCTCACTGATAAGGCTGTAACTAATGGGCTTCTCCACCGGGCAATACATCACACGTGGACCAATGGGACTGGTAATTGTCACAAATTGTGCAACTAAATTTTAAAATGCTGGCACGTATATTCTGTCTTGTTTTGTAACTTTACTCAATAAAGTGACCATAGGCTTACTTTGAAGAACAAATATAAAATAGTGATGCAAGGATAACTTTGAGTGTTTTACATCAACCATACTTCTGCAAAAATTAAGACTGCTACTGTAGCTTGGATTAGATAATCATGGGTTTGATCACTCACTCAAATTGCTTGCTAATTTTGTCATCTAACATATAAACCTTGAGAATACAAAGTTCACTTGCTGTCCAAAAACTTAATTAAAATAAGTTTAAGAGTGCCAAAATGACTCTTGTGAACTTTAAGCCATGTTATATTGTTGTTACCTCCTCAAAAACATATATTTTGTTGTGTTTTATTTCATTTACAACTGTCTGAATAACCCTTTATTATTAGTCTGTCTACATCTCCAAAGCTCAAAATGATCTGTTCCACCTTGTGATGTCACGTGGTGGTAGTTTTAGTTAACACCTACTCTTTACCTTTACTTCAGTATAGAGATAGGCAATTCCAGGGCTGAAATTATCAAAAGATTCTAGTTAAGGTGTATGGAGTTTAAAAACACAGGCATGCATTTCCTGTATTACCACATGACATCGCAATGTGTTTTCTTCCTGAGAGAAGAACTCAGCCTAAACATGCAGGATTATTGTGCTAAAAGTGTGAATTAAACAAAATTCCAAACTCCAGGTATGCCCATGATGAGGAAACAACTATATAAGGTAGATCAAAAAATAGTGTAATGTGATTGCTTTAAGTATCTCATGCCAAAATGCCATTCTAAAATATAATCTGTATTTTTTCATATTGGATTTAATGGTTTGCCTAAAGGGTAAATGAACATTGCTTCAGTACAGCGCATTATACTCAAGGTTTGGAAATTCATTCTACAAAACAACCCAACACCCATACCCATTTTTGTCACATTTAATATAAGTCCCTCCACCGTTTGCAGTCAAATTTACTGTACAGTTCAGATGCAGTATTTCAGCCTGCAAAGTCACAGTCCAAGCAGTTGACACATGAACGGTTTGCGCACACCTATGGCAGTGAAAGTGCTTCATAACCAGGCCTAATCCCTCTGTACTGCAACGTGTGTCCCAGGAGATAGCAGGCTGACGAGGCCGCTTTGACAAGTCCAAGCATAAAAGCATTCGACTTGTGTATCTGTGGAGTACAGCTTGGGCTCCCTGCTTCCTCCGCTCTTTGCACCTTTGCCCAAATATTCTCTCTCAAGCAGTGGACCAGTTAAAATAGCAAAAGAAACAACATAAATTCACCCGCCGTACCTGTCAAACTGAAAACTGTCAAAATGAAATAAAAGTACAGTGCAACAAATCCAGACAGTAGCAATAGCACATAGCAATACAGGGCTGGAGGGAGATGTTATTGTAAGCCATTTCTATTTTAAGTATATATTCAGAACTTTTTTTTACCTATACTTTAGAATGTTGTCAACTAATCATCACAGTGTCTATCAGTATATATGTAGTTTACCCTTACCAGGATTATACTGTAGTAATAGACCCAAATTAAAAGTATTAGTTCTTAATGGCAGACACTTTAAAGGTCCTGTACCTGTTGTTTTTTTGTTTTTTTTTCATGTATTTGAAAAAAATAAAAAAAAATAAAATCTTGCCCCTGCACAGATATAATGTATAAGTGGCTCTTAAGGTTAGCATAAGTCCACTGTGTGCTATCTGTATCTAATAGTAAAGCACTTTATTGTCTGATAATCAGGATGTGCACTTTAGCATGCTATTTGTTGTTAGCTTTACCTTCACAGCAAAACTTTGCACTGGTCTCTGAGAGTTGAGAAAAGCACTCAATGCGGTGAAGAAATAATATTTATAATAACACTACAAAGAGTTTAAAAGTCCTATGTTACGCTAAATTTACCTGTGTGAACTTGTGTGTGTTATAATGTAGTTACCTCCTCAAAGTTGTGTTTTGCTTCATTCACACGTTTGAGTAACTCTTTATTTTTGATCTGTCTACATCATCTCAAAAGAAAACGTTCAAAATGCTCTGTTCCACCTTGTGATGTCATTAAGCTATAGTTTTCAAGTTAACAGCTACTTTTTACTGTTGGTTTTGTGGAGATGGGCGAGTCCAGGGCTGAAATTATCCACATTTCTCGAGTTTAAAGACACAGTGGAGCACTTCCTGTATTACCACATGACATCACAAGGTGGAACAGTATATTCTGCTTGACAGAAGAACTCAGGCTAAATATGCAATGTGTTAAACATGTGTGAATGAAACAATACAAAACTCAAGAAACGATTACAACAAGATTATAGTATAAATCAGAAAAAAAGTGTAATATGGTCCCTTTAAGAATCATTTTTTAAATCAAGTACAGCGCCTTTAAGGTATTAGTAGTAATTCAAAACCAAAAAAAATCCTGGGTCATGAGGAGCTGTTGTTAAAGATGTGATGATCTTCTGTATTTGCAGGTTAAATCAGTTCAGTGAAAATAGCTTCAGTTTGTTTTGCAGCGTGTGATACGGATCTCTGGGGTGATGACTATGCCATTAATTTCACAAGGCCTACTTAAAGAAGCTAGGTTTTTAGGTTGCTTAGTCTTTCTCAGCACAAGTGGATATGCATTTGCCTGCATGTTGTAAGGTTCATTACATTTATTACATCCAGGAAAGTAGACCTGTAATTGAATAAATGTAAAGTATAACTGTTTAATGTTATACTGTGGAATATTCCTAGAAGCAAGCCGGTGACGGACCCCTAACCAATGAGTTACACTGTGCACCTTTAACTGAATGAAAAATGTAGGCATGTGCTCCAGTTACTCCTGTTACATCCAAACAAAGATCATTTTTTGTTTTTAGCAAAGTAGTTCCAACATGTTAATATCAAGGATATCTTCAAATTTAATACAAGTCAGAGGTAGAAGATTTAGCAGATCTTCAAATATTGGTGTAATTCATTTATTGGAAGTGAGAGCCCCCAAAATGAATTCATTTTGCCTTTTAATTAATGTGCTGAAAGATCAGGGGGGAAGTGAGGTCTGTGAGGAATAACAAACTTTCAAACTGAGTAGCGATGGTGGAGACTTAATAGCACCTGTAGTTTCTCTGGTGCATTTACAAAGGATAAATCACAGTTATTTTGAAATTATAGTCATCCTTAACAATTTTAGACAATAGGGTAGGCTACACAGGGCTTGAAACTTCATATATCCGGTGGTGGATGAAATACTGTTAATGGTGCATTGTGTAACTTTCTGGTGGAGGGTCCGTACTCATGGAAATGTTTTTGCTTTGTATGGAATGTATTAAACCTTTTTATTTTCATGGAGACCATGAAGTTACAGGTCAGATCTGTAAAGAGGCAACTCTTCTCACAGTCAGAATGCCTGTTTCTCAAGGTATTTTTGAGCTGTAAAACAACCTGTAAATGAATAAATGTAAAGTAGTGCTGTCTATTGTTAGTGGAACATTTCAGGCAAAGCAATGACATGTCCACAGAAACAAGCTGATGACAGATACCCAACCAAAAAGTTACATAGTGCACCTATAAGTAAAAGTACAGATGCAGTGGCAAAAGATTACTCAAGTAAAAGGAAAAGTATCACATGAAAGAAGTTATTATAAGTATTAATGTACCTGTTTAACAATTAAATTAAATTAGTAAAAATTGAAAGTATTTTGCAGAGTTTTGAGAAAATTTCAGAATGAAACATAGTGATTTTGATGAGTTTAGCTGATAAGTGATTCAATTGATTTTTTTTTTGTTTTGTTTTGTTTTATTTTGTTTGCTTGGTTGTTTTTGTGTGTTTGGGAACCCAAACTAAATGTTCTCAAAAGGCTCAGGTCTCAAAGAAAAGTACTTTCTAGTTTTCAGTCATGATCGAAAATGTAGTGGAGTAGAAAGTACAGATACATGATCTCAAATGTAGTTAAGTAAAAGTAAAATGTAGCCACTGTAAAATGTACTTAAAGGTGCATTGCATAACTTTTCTGGTGGAGGGTCACCTCCTTGTTTCTATGGATATGTCCATTTGCATATGCTGGAATTTTCCAGAATATGACATTCAAAAGATCCACTTCACATTCATTTAATTGCCACTCAAAAATACCAGGAAAAACACATATTCTGACTGTGAGTGGGGTTGCCTCTCTACAGATCTCATCTGTACCTTGATCTGGATCTTGCCTGGATCTCGCTTGA